ATTTGCTGAATTTCAACTCTTACTTTTCAGTAACCGATAATATCGAAAAAATCAATAATGTATTAGTCTTGAGAGTAAGTTAATAAAAATTATGCAGAGTTTAACTTTGCCGACGCGTTTCATGTTTATTCGTTAAATAAAATAAAACACTCATCAGGGCTCTACATAACTAAGGACTAAGTAAAAGTATGGATAAATATGTGTGAAATAGCAAGAGATAGAGAAAAAAAGAAAGTGTAGGTTAATGTAAGGACTAACGAAGAAAGATAAGAGGAATAATAATGATGATATCGACTATGTGAAATAATGGAAAAATAAAATAAAATCAGAAGAGAAGAAGAAGATGATTAATTATAATGAAGGTAAAGATATTTATGTGTCTCTAGTTCGGACTAGGCGAAGTTGCAGGTTGTTGGCATTGCGAGTACCTAGTACAGGGTTGATATCATTAATAGGTGAATGTTCAAAGTATTTCTGCCAAAGACTGTGGAATTTTTTAGGAAATGATCGCATGTTAGAACAATAAGTAAAGTGAACGAACATGGTGTGACCATAATCAACAGGTGCTTTGATTTGAATTGGACTATTAATGATTTGATCTCGACATATGTTGTAATTATCAACTGTTAATGGTTGTTGTATTTTATATTTAATAAATAATTTATTAAATTGTTTTTCAATGAAAGTATTTGGATATTTATTGATAAGTAAAGCCATACGTAATTTTTCACGTTCATTTAAATATATTTGAAAGGTTGAAGAATAACGAATTGCGCGTAATAGCATTGTAAATGGAATGTTCTTCTTCATATGTATTGGATGAACGCTATTAAATGGCAAATAGTATGGTTCGTATGAAGGTTTATGATAAACTTTAGTGAATAATTGACCATCTTGATTTTCAATAAATAGATCAAGAAAATTAACCTGGTGACTAATGTTGGCAGATAATTGGATATTTTCATCAAATTTATTCCAACGATCTATTTGTTTAACAAGATGTCGAAGAGGCCAATTGATAATAATAAAGATGTCATCTATATAACGAACGTATAATCCAAAACTATTATTAATTTGTCGACTGATTTTTTGTTCAAGGAAAAACATATAACAATTAGCAATAGTTAATGTTAAAGGAGAACCCATTGCTCCACCTCGAATTTGATGATAATAATTATTATTGTATTCAAAATAATTATTTTGTATAACGAATCTTGCTAATCGAATAATTGTTTCTACTTTTAAACCATCGACTTGTTTTAATTTTAAATAATCTAACATTTTCTTTAAAGCTAGTACTCCTTCAGTTTGAGGAATCATTGTATACAGATCAATGACATCGATTGTACATAATATTGTTTCTCGTTGTAAATTTGTATGTGACCATATCTGTAGACGTTGGATAAGTTCGTAACCAGATGTTACTGTAGTTGTAGAAGCCATCTGATTGAACAATGGTCTTAATAAATCATCTAAATATTTTGATATTTTAATTGTTGGATGTTTTAATCCAGAAATAATTGGACGAAGTGGAGTACCTGATTTATGAGATTTAGGTAAGTAATATAAATGTGCTAATTCAATATCATCAGTTTGTTTGAGACACAATTGTTCATATTGTTTTTGTGTAATCCATTTAATAAAACGTAAATCAAGTAAATATTTATTGGTACGAGTAATTAGATCAGGTAATGGATTATTAATTGAACCAAGACATTGATAAGCTTTAGTTCTATTCATATATTCCATTGATTTCTTATCATATTCATCAGACGTACCTAGATGGAATACTTTTGATTTGTCTGTTTTTCTTAAAATAATACTATTTAATTTAAATTTAAATTTTAAACGCTTTAATAAACGATGGTAATTTATTTTCTTCTTCTTCTTTATCTTCTTGTTACAAATGATATGAGATTGATAATGATGTGGAATAGCTGAAGATTCATGTAGATTTTGTAATAAAAGATCTAGTTCAGAAATAAAATCTTTAACTGGACGACCGGGGCTAACTTTCTTTTCATAAAAACGTGTCTCTATTTTTCGTTGAAGAGTAGCCAACTCATTTGTACGTCGTCGAGCAGCTGTCTGAGGATCATTATAAATAAAACGAGGACCTAATTGTAATAGATGGTATTCGTCCTTGTTTAATTTTAAATTTGTATTATTGATTATTGTTGGAGTGAAAACTCCACTGGTAAAGATCGACCAATTGTCTGGGCAATAACTTCCATTTCTTGATTGTTGTCGCCCTCGACTTTTAATATTTCTAAAAAATGGCATGCTTGATCTGCAAGTAAATTATAACGTTTTTCACGTAAATCATTATAGTATTTAAATGCTGTGAAACCAGCTTGTGCATCAAAGCCATCATCATTATCTTCAGGAAAACATTGAATCATTTGTTTTATTTCATTAGTTAGTAATTCTAATTTACGTGTGTGTGTCTGTACATACAACGTCATAGATTGTCTATGATATTCTTGTGTAATTTGACGCATTTGATCATATATTTGTTGAGCTTCTTCATTAGGTAGAATTTGATCATCATTGAAATTAAATGATAATTGTGTTTGACCAATAAATTTTGGTGGTAAATCATATTCTACACGTTTGGTGGCAATTCGAAGGTTTTGATTTTTTGTTGACCATAATGTCATTTTTGGTTGTATAAATAAATGAAGTCTCCATTGTGCTGGAGTAGCTAATTTTTCAAAATCTTTCAATGCCTTATATTCATCCATTTCAATTTGAGCTAATTTAATACGATTGAGAGAAGCTTTCTTAACATGTTGTGTACAATGAAGAATGTATTTTAAAAGAATATCCTCAGTACGATTAACTGCTTCTTTTACACGTTTGCGATCGTACGTTGTGCTTGTTGCTGTTGATTTTGGAGGATTCTGGGACCAAAAAGTATGCAATTGTATTTGATAATCAGAAATAACTGCACGTGTTTGATCAATTTTTACTTTCAATTGATTGATTTTCTTTCGAGCAAAACGTTCACATAAAATATTGTTACGTTTATTTCGTTTAGCAATTTCATTTGCCCATTGTTGATGATTTAATCCTATTCTAAGGTATTCTTCAAATATTTGTAATTCATAATTGAGACGAACCCATTCATCATAACTGTTTATTGTAGCTAAAATATAAGCTTGAGTACTGCGACCAGTTAATGCATCAGGATCGTGCTCTTTAATGTATTGGAAAACACGATTTGATTGTAAATAAAATCGTTGTTTATTTTTCTTTTTATTAATTTGTTTCTTATTTAGAACAAGATTATTATCATCTTCTTGTTCCTCTTCTTCTTTATCATAATCAATATGCTCTTCGTTGTTATCATAATTATTATTTCGATTGTATTGTTTTTGACGAATACGACGTACACGACGACGTTGAGTAGAAGTAGTTGTTTTCTGTTTCTGTTGTTGTTGTTGTTGTTGTTGTTGTCGACGTGGTTGGTCGATATAGAATGGTTGTGTATTCGGATATTTATTATTATTATTATTATTGTTATTAGTATTATCCGTGGTAGCAATAGGACGAATAGTCTGTGTTGCAGAATTGGGTTGTTGCGGTAATACATTATTTGGTATGAGATTAAATTCATTAGGTAAATTATTTGTACCTGACTCTACTGGCGGTGTATCCAATAGTTCTGCAGACATGAAATCACCTAATTGTGGAAGTCGTGGATAATTCCTACGATTAGTTTGTTGTGGTTGTTGTCTCGACCGAGAACCATTCGATCTTTGTCTTGATCTTGACCTTGGTGGTGGTGGCGGCGGTCTTCGGCGAGGAAAATAGCCTTGATTATAATAATCATAGTGATAATCATAACGAGAATAATATGGATTATGGTCATATGGATGATATGGACGATTGTAGTACTGGGGTCGTCTTCGTTGATAATTTGAATTATAATAATAAGTATCATTTGTGGCCCCTGGAACACCACCACGGTGGTAAAACTGTGATGGTGCTTGGGGTTGTTGTCGTTGTTGACGTTGATTATTATTTGTCGACATTAATCGTTAATATAAGTTGAAATATATGTGGATCAAAATTAAAACAAAAATAAAAATTGAATTTAATTTGATGCCAGACAAATTGTTGAAGATGTAAATCAATAATTCAATAACAAACTGATTTATCTTTGCTTAAGAAAAATAAATTCAATTTGCTGAATTTCAACTCTTACTTTTCAGTAACCGATAATATCGAAAAAATCAATAATGTATTAGTCTTGAGAGTAAGTTAATAAAAATTATGCAGAGTTTAACTTTGCCGACGCGTTTCGCACCTTTAAAAAGGTAGCTCTTCAGGGCTTGTTTAAAAAAAAAATTATATATCTGAAATAGTAGAGAACATATGTTAATGTTGAAGATTTACTTATAGATCAAACGAAATGGAAAATAAAAATGTAAACAACATGATAAATCTATAGTTTTACTATATGAAAAAACAGAAGCAATATCAATTAACGATCTCTATTGTTATATAATTGAAGCAAAGCTCTCTAGAGTTTCTTCAAAAGTATATGTTTAAATAGATATAACAATCGTCGGTTGACGAATACCAATAGTAAGATGATATTCCAATTTGGGATCGTCACCAATACTCCATTCAACAATTCGAGAATATGAGTAACATAGTTTGTCATCGTTAAACAAATCTTGAATAACTGTTTCGAAACTTTGACGTAAATAGTTTTGAATTTCTTCTTTTGAACGATGAGGAGTATTTGTAGCAGTAACATATACTGTTGGCAATGATATATCCGATGAGAGTATAGAAGATAAATCTTCACATACTATTGGTGTCGATATATCAGAATGATCCATTTGAAATGATGATGTAGCTTGTGGTTGCCAAGTATGTTCGTCAAAACTTGCTACATGTTGATATTGTTGTTTACTATTATCATCTGACATTGTAATTGTGTACTTAAATTGAAATATAAATTAATTCACTAGATGATGAAGATATAGACTAATTTTCTAATCTGAAGCCGTTCTTTTCCGTAAAAAAAACTGAATAAATTAATAAATAGAGAGATATTCAAAATAAAATTTAATTGATAAATGCAGAGTTTAGTTTTTCTGACGTATTCCGTATCTTTACAATGTTAACTCTTGAAGGTTCGCTTAAAAAATATATATCTGAAAGAAATAGAAGAACATATGGATAAATAAACGGAAGAATATGATGAAATCAAGAAAAAAACAATGAAGAAAAACAAACTAGAGGGTGTGGATCAGATGTAAAACAAATTAATCTATATAACGATGATATAAATTAATTTGCTGATCTCAACTCTTGCTTCTTCAGCAATCGATCTTTTTAGAATTTAAAATATTTGAAATAATAAGATGTTTTCAATTAATAATAAATGCAGAATATTGCTTTGCCAACGCGTTTCACACCTTTATAAAGGTAGCCCTTCAGGACTTTGAAAAGAATAGATCTGAAATAAAACGATGATGAGAAAGAGAGGATATGTTTTATTTATAGGTCAGTTCAAAGCAACAGTGTGAAACAATGAAAAAGAGAGATAGACAAGGATAGATCAGTTACTGATTCTCCATAAAATGTTTTATGGAAAGATGATGAGAAGCATGGAATTTAGTTCGTTGAATTTTGTTGTCGATGAATTGGCGAAAGTGTCGATTGTGACGCATAATATAATCACGGACATATTTTTCCAATTTCAAAGTGGAATCATTAAAGTTTTCCATAGGGAATGTCATTCCACTAATATTCAATCTAGAGAGTTCCAAAAGACGTGTGACGGTTTCTGTGTCACAGTTGCGTCTCCTATGCTGTTTGAATGTCCAGGAACATTCAATGTAATCATGAATGAGAGAACGAACATGAAGACGTAATGTATTCAATTTGTCCTCGATGAATTTGACTCTTGCATCGGCATTAGATGATCTCGAAATCGATCGAAGCACTTCTGGTGCCCAATAATCCCACTGTTGACCTAATTTTAAGTATGTTTTCCAGAGCTTTTCTCGATAGTTCTCTCGAATCCATTCATCCAAAATGGAAGCTAATGTTGTAATATAAGCATATGTGACACAATCATGGATCATAAAGTTCATATGAATTGATCGACGTGCAAACGAGTTCAATATTTGATCCCCATAGAGATAATTGCGATCAATGTTAGAATTAGGCTGTGTGTCCGGTTGTAATGATAGTTGTTCAACGTGAGATGTAGAAGAACAACAGAAGAGATTTGTTGGATGATTCTGCTCATCATCATTGGAAGACGATCCGGATGTTGTACGACTCACTGAGATGGAAAAATGAATGTCTGACGACATGATTAGTGCGATCAATATAAACTGGTAAATAAATTTAAAAGTAGATCAGTTCTAGAATGAAAGGCTTGATTGAATTATTTCAAAACCTTTTTCAGAATTTCTGTTATTTGAATGTAGCTTTTATTATGATGAAATCAGTTTTAAAAAAAAAACCATCTACAATCAAAAGCAAAACAAAAAACGAAACAAATACAGTCACTGATTGAACAAAAGAAAAAAAACCTTAGTCTAACGCTTATTCTCTAGAGAGTTTCCTTTCAATATACTATATCCGCTGAAATCATCTCAAATGAGTCGCTAGCATCTACCTGATCACGTTCTATCTGGTGGGATAGCCACTACAGATAGCCACAGAGACCGAAAAAAAAACTCTCTTATTCTAATTAATGTTCTTTGTGATAATACCAATTGCCATTTGAATTTGATATCGACGAACTCAACTCAACCCAAGGGGAATAAAGAAGAGATGTAGTCACTGGCGCAAAGATAACTAGAAAGTTATCTTTATGACCGGAAAGATTCAGTTGTCCCTAGACAACCCTCTCCTCTTGGTACATCGATATTTCTATCGACACCAATGACTACGAAAGGATTAAAGATAAAAATCAAAAACAAACTTAATCTCAATTTAAAATACAACTGAAATATGAATTTTCGATGTTTTTGTTTTTAGTATAAGATGCCTCAAACCATAGAAATAGATGTTTTTATATTTAGAAGAACTAATCTTAAAGAAAAATAAGCCCCTCCATAATGAAAACTAAAACTTACATATTTATTTGTTGTTGAATTTGAAGGGAAAGAGGAGAAGAATTATCTAAAATTAGAATGAATGCTATCAAATTTAGGTTTGCTTGAAAGGATAAAAGAAAAAGAACTTACCAACTATAAATAACTTGTATTTGAATAAGTAGAAGTAGTAATAGGAGAAGGAGAAGAGGATGTATTGAAATGAAGAATTCTATGAAATGTATCCAAATGCAGAAGTTTATATAGATATCTAAACGACATACGACATATCAGCTACGACATACCATCTAACGGCATAGCAGTTACGACATACCATCTAACGGCATAGCAGCTACGACATACCATCTAACGGCATAGCAGCTACGACATAGCAGTTACGACATACCATCTAACGACATAGCAGTTACGACATACCATCTAACGACATAGCAGTTACGACATACCATCTAACGACATAGCAGTTCTATAGAGAAGAGAAGGACATAGCACCTAATGATTCAGCCGATATATGATATAATCTAACTTCTTTTCCATTTCAGATAGCCAGCTTTAAGTTGTAGATAATGATATTGATAATTTCGTTAAACATCATTAATGATTAATTGCTAAATAGTGACACAGTCGTTTACTGTATATAAATGCAATTAGTTTGATTAGCTTATTGCTGTTCTTAATATGCTATAGACCCTTATAAGTTAATATTTGAGTTTCGTATTATACTCTCATTGGTGATATCTTTCTTTTGCATCCTAATAAAAATCGAGAGAGTGAGATATATCTCGTGTATAAATATATGTGATTCTTAGAACATCGTAATGAGGTTGATATATTATTAACAGTTTTGTTTTTTCTTTTAGATTTTGTTCACTATTCTTATTATTAACATCATCCCAAACGAGCATTTTAAGAGATTTCTAAGTAAGATATAAATTTATCTAAAGATTTACCAAAATATACTACTGTATTGTCTTTTCTTTTTCTTATTATTCTAGATTTTGTTTCCATTCATTCATTCAACTTAAATTTTTGGTTGTGTATTCCTTTAGCTCGTCGACAGGTAAATATTATTTGAATATTTGTATTTTTCTATAGTCTATTACTGAATAAGAGAGAAGGACGGTGACAAGTCGAAAGTCATGAATCTTTCTTTTCTATTAGTAAAATCTCTTCTTCTTTCTCTTACTCACTGGCATCGGTAGAAATATCGATGTGCTAAGAGGAAAGGGTTGTCTAGGGACAGCTGAATCTTTCCGGCTATAGAGTTGGTGATAGATACATAACCGTACTCTATACCAGTCACCATTTCTTTAAGTTAGGAGTTTTCTTTAGAAGGAGGGCGTGTAGAAAGCATCGACAGTTAGTAGTGTTGTTTATTCTTTTGTATTAAGATCTTCTCTTCTTCTTCATCGTTGGTATCATATGCGAATGAGATCGTCATTATAATTCGGCTCTAGAATTGGATATAGACAAATGATCATATTCAATATCAATGATTACTTCTTTTAGTTTAGATATTTTTCTAATATACGTATACACAAATCATGTCCAGTGAGTGATTTTGAATTGTGAGTGGCTTGGAAAAACTTTGTCAAGTTTTAATGAGATATGAGTGACTTCTTTTGGGAATTATTTGTAGTGATTCTTATATCGAATAGAGATGTAGCTTAGATGTAGATTAACTTATGTATCGAATAAAATTAACCCGATTGGTTCACATTCATCTTTTCTTTTTTTTTTTTTAAATATAATTACAAACCAGAGTATAGTTGTTAATAGTAGTGTTGTCTTTTGGCTTCCAGGCGATTCTATTTAGCCTAATAACGTCTAGTCGATAGAAGTCTTCAGGCGAAAAAGAAAGCTAAACATCGTATACGATGTATGATATAAATAAACGCATAATTTACATTTTATCTGTTGTTTTATATTTGTTTGTGATGAGACAATAAAAGAATGATATATTCTAATACATAGTAGAATAAGTATCATTGAAACGTAGTGTGTTATATCATTATAGATTAAAAAATCTTGTTTATTAGTTATACGATGTCAAAGATGATGTCAAGTATTGGTAAAATCAATCGTATTGAAAAGGTTCCATTGCCACCTGATCAAGCTAAAGCTGCCAGATCTACAAAAATACCTTTGATTACAACTCGTCTACCACAAATAGATTATTTAAACATTTTCAAAGGATTGACTGTACTTTTCATTGGGGACAATACAATCCGTACAATTTATAAAGATTTTTGTTCTGTACTCAAGTACGACCGATTACTTGACTATACAGAGGCCGCTCGTCAACATGGTCAATATAAACCAGTTCAAGGTAAAATAGAATGCGTAAAATTCATATTAGTTTGAAATTCATAATCTAGATGAACGTGTTCTTTTATCTGATGGTAAAATTGGTACAGATCAATATCGAGATATCAAGGAGTTTTTTCTGAAAGATAACTCTACTCGATTGATTTTTGTTTACATTGCCACAATTTTCGATGGCATTGCTCAATGTAACCTTGAGTATTTAAAAACTACCGATCAATCGTTATCCATCGATGTCATCGTATTTTCTTCTTATGTAAATGACATGAATAAGTAAATTGACATAGAGTAGAATTAAAATTAGCATTCATTATATTTCGTTTTATTTTTAGGAAAAAGATAGATTTATCAAAACAAAATATTGGGTCATATTTTGACAAATATTTGAGTCACTTAGGCGATTTTTCTACCTATTTAAGTAAATTTTGTAGTGTCCCAAATAAAACACAACATTATTTCTGGATGACGCCACTACCACAACCCTTTCATATGTCGCCAATAAAGGAAAGCCAATTTGAACAACATATCAAAGATGCATTCCATACAGTTAAAGTAGATACATTCATTCAATTCGATCGATACGATATTTGGAAACGCCGTAAAGATTTAACCATCGCTGAAAACGGTTACTTTTCATTACATGGTAATTAGAATAATTTGTGGTCAAGCGAAATTGTTTCTCTATATCTCTGTCTTTTTAATTGCAGGCATTCGTGAAGTATCAGATAGTTTCACTCGTTTTCTTGCAGTTAAACTTAATCGATACTTTACATCCTCTATCGCCTTGCCTATTACACCTTTGAGTTATCTGAATGATAAATCAGTTGTTCATAATGATTGTTCAAAGCAAACTACTACAATATCATTATCAAAATCAAATCGATATCATCCCTACAATCATTAATGACTATATTTGTCGTCTATTCATATGACATTATTTTGTTTCATGTGTTTTTCATAGTTATCGTTATTATCTTGTTTTTGTTGTTAGTTATTAAAAAGAAACGTCAACTTTGTTTCTGATGTTGGTCGTCTTCAGAATAGGTATAATCAAAATCTCTTCATTTATTTTTTAATATCCAATACAAAGAATTTATGGAGACGTAGTATGAAGTATGATGAAATCATGGAAAACAGTAAAATGAAAGAATTTTGATTATAAAATATCTTTCTATTATTTTAGTAATCAAAATATATTTTTTAGAATTATTTCTGATTTATAAATGAAACAATTTTTCGATTTATCCAAAAATGCTCAACTTCAAAATGTATTGATTATCATCGATGTATATTTATGAATATTCTTCTACTAAATTATATCTCATTTATTGGATTTCATTATCATAGTATGCGCTACTCTAGATCTGTCTTGAGATGAATTGTTTTTTTTAGCTGAACAAAAATGCCTTCTTCTTTAGTAACGTATCTTTACTTAAGAGAAAAAAATCAATTTGTTGGACTTCAATTCTTATTTTTCGATGATTGAAAATGTCGAATAATAACTAGATAATAATAAAGTGCTTGTTATTGAGATGTGTGGAGTTTAGCTTAGATTAGTTTTTTAATAAATGTTTTAATTACATTAGAAAATTTCAAGTTTTGGCTTCGGTAGATTCAATTTTTGGTATAAGTTGATTTTCGAAAATGTCGAGTGTGACACATAGAATGATTGTGAGTTGTGTTATTCAATAAATCAGGAGAATCTACAAAGTAAGAGTCACAAGGAGTTAATTCAATATTAGTATAGCTGTTCGTTTAGCAAAATCATGAGTTCGATAGCATTTCAATTTCTTATTATATTCTTTAGATTTATCGTGTATCCCATCAATGTTATGTTGTGACTGAGATATTTTCTGTTGTATCAATTGAATTTTTGTATCATTGTCAAATGTTTTTGTAGATCAATGAACGTCTTCTGTCTAATAATTATCTTTGGTATCATATCTGAAATAGAAAGACAAAAGTATAACTGAGATGATATGGAAGAAGATGAACGAATAGAATGTATTTCGATGAAAAAAAAAAGCCCTAATAGTTAGACATAATGAGCTGGAGTAATAATCTTATGAGAATAGCAAAATAAAGTTTTTGTTTCTTTTTCTTCAAATTGAAGTAACAACTGTGGGTTGACGAAGAGTAATGGTAAGATGATATTCTAATTTTGGATTTTGACCAATACTCCATTCCATTGTTTTCTTAGAAGTAGTCTTTAAGAAAATTCTCAAAGCTTTGAGATAAATAAATTAATATTTAATGGTTGATGTACTGCTAAACAGAGTTCAATGTTAAAATTATTCTTATCGAAATCATGTTGAATTGTTTCCTTTGTAACTTCAGTTACATCCAGAAAAGCTTGATTACCTAAATCATCAGCAGGTGTATTCAATGACACTGATGATGTCATAGAAAATAGATAAGAAATATCGATGGATGCAGATGTAATACAGTTGAAATCGAATGAGGGTGTGTATCTAAAAGTATTATAACAGAAAATCAATGAAGGTAACTAGAAAAAAATAGAGAAGGTAGTTTATAGAATATAGGAGAAGAAAAAGAAGTATAAGAAATATAAAAAACTTGTATACAAGGATAATCTTTTTTCTTAATAATCTCTTAATAAAGAATTTGATAAGTAACAATGTCTTGAAGTAAGTTTCACTTTCAAATCATATGTTTTAAATTTAGGATCTTTTTCAATAATTATGAACCAGAGTTTACGAAATTGATCATTAAATTTATATCTTAATCCCCAATCAAATAAATAATAAAATTCAACTAATTTTTGATTCTGTATCAATTGTTCGCGTTCACTGAAACGACGTTTTTGTGTATCTAAACAACGAAATAATTGACGACGAATTCCATTGTATGCATATTGATCAAGATTTTCCGTTTGTTTACTAGAACTATAGAATTGTTTATAAAATTGTTCTAAATTATGTTCAACAAATTCTAATGAATAACCATTAGCAAGAAATGTTAATTCAATATAGAGACGTTCATTCTGAAAATCTTTTAATCTTATACAAGATTGACCAGCACGAATAAGTGAATAACGAAACCATTGTCGATGTATTAACCGTGGATGTCCAGTTACATATGGTAAAAGAAATGGTTGTTTTTTTGGATCATGATAAATATGAGTATAAAGTTTACCATTTTGATTTTCAATATAAACATTCAGAAAATGAACATTCAAACCTGTTGAATAAGTGATTCGTACATCTGGATGTTCGTAGTTAAGTTTAGTAAAGCAAGTTTGTAAGGCCGTTCTTGATCCAAACCATGTCATAATGCCCATATTATAATAACGACCATAGAATTCATCTGCAAGACGTATTTCACTTACTAAAGGTTGTTGGTAATAATGTAAATAAATATTTAATAATAATCGAGATAAACGATAGTTTACAGGACATCCTTTAATATATCGATAGATTGTTGATCCCTGATAAGAAAAATGGAGATTTTTAAGAAATAATTCAGTTAATTCATAAATTGTATCATTTGATAAACCATTATGACGAAGTACATTGACATTTTGTGTTGTAAGAAATTGATGTAATGCTTTAAGAATATTATCATGTGAAACTGTTTTATGTAAATTATGAATTTCGAATGTCACAAATTTTGTATGTGATAGAAGAGAATCACTTTGTATACAATATTGTTCAAGTTTTTGAATAAAATCACCACCATTTCTTAATGCGGTTGATTGAGAATAATTTTCAAACAATGGCCGTAATAGATGATAAAGAAATGATGCTAATGGTTGGATTGGGCTTGAAACACAAGATGATATTCTTGCTTGTACTGATATTACACCGTCCTATTTTATGTATTTTTTTTTTTTGTAATAAAGAAAAAACAAAACAATTAAATGAGAAAAGTAGAGAAGAATAATTATTCTACAATACATACGAATTTTATTTCTGGTAAGAAATATAAATATGGAAGAGAAATTTGACTTCGTTTACTTGCTAACATTTTTGCTAAATGATTTTCATTAATTGATTTCTTTTTATGCAATTCTTGTAAATTTAAATCAATTGATTTGATCGTTTCTTTTAAATAAGTTTCTTTGGAATGATTATCATCAATTATTCTTTTTGATTCGAAATAATCTGTAGTATTCATATAATGATTAACTATTTGATTAAATTCATTTTCGTCACCAAGATAATATGTATTTTGATTATCAGCTGTACGTCGTAATAATAAATGATCTTTTTTAATTTGTAATTGAATAGAATGAATAAGTTGTTGTTCATAGATTGAATATTGTTGCACAGTAGATGGTATCGGTATTGAAAAGCATTTTTTAAATGATTGTTCAATTTCTTTTTCAAAATTCATTCGTCGACTAAGATCAATTGGATATTTATCAAATAATTTCGTTAATTGTCGTCGTAATGGTGCTAACTGTTTCAAAAGTATATGATCAATTGAATTTGTTTGATGAATAGTCAAATGTACTTGACATGGCGATACATAGGTTGGTCCACGATTAAGATAACTAACTTGTTCAGTTGTTAAGTGATGATTTGTATATAGATATAAACTTGGCGAACAACCGACATTTAATTTTTTAATATCATCTCGATGACTCGAATTCAACTCTTGACCGTCTGAGCTTTGACGAAAAAAACGTAATTTTAAATTGTAAAGATGGGTAATATGTTCATTAATATGTTTGAAACGTTGATTTAAAATAGAAGCCATTGAGTTTGTTAATTTTCGACTTGTAACACCAGAACGTTGATCAGCTTCATAATTTTGCATATTAGTATCAAATTTCTTTCGATGTTCTTCATATATGGCTTCTGCTGCTTGAATATAAATAAACATCATTTCAGATTTTGTTCGTTCAAACAGTCGTGTACATTGCTGTGTTAAACATTCACGAATATGTTCATTTTGAATAGCATCTAATGCAATAGGTGTAGGTATCTGAAGTGATTCGAATGTACTTGGTAAATGTTGATGAACCATTCGTTGTTTTAATATAGCAACTTCTATACGACTTGTTTCTTTGTTCATTTTGTCTTGTGTTAATTTATTAAATACTTCAATTTGATAAGGAGATGGATAATCTCGATGAAACTCTAATTCAAGTAATCGATCATTATAATTGTATGTAACAGCAGCTATTTGACCTTCAATTGAAATGTGATGTATAGATATACCATATTCTTCAACAAATTGTCGAATTGCATTTTCTATATTTTGTATGAGACCATTGTTTAATTGTTTTTTACGTTCTTGTAATTGTTCGTCATAATATGTATTTGAATCACGGAATTGACGAATTCTATGATGTACATATTGCAAACATGTTTGATGACCAATGTCCGATAATTCAAGTGTAGTATATTTATTTTTAATCAATGATGTTTTGACTTCTTGAGGCCATAATAAAAGACGACTAGCTTGTGATGTTGTAGCTGCTCCAGTTGGCAATTCTTCTTCTGTAAAGTCTTGTTTCTCTAAATGTTCTTGTATATTTTTCATCTGACCAGTACCAGAGCATAAATATGTTATCCATAATGATATATTTAAATTATTTAAACCAATTTTATGGATGAGAAGTGCTATTTGTCGTAATTGTTCAATATTGATAACAGAATTGCTTACTGTTGTTGTTGTTGTTTCAAGTTGTAGAACATTATTCATTTTCTCATCAAAGATATGCTTTACATTTGATAAATATCTTGGCATATCTTGATCTGGTACATCTTCTAAGGTTACTTTCAGTTTTTTCACTGTTCCTATTATACTTGACGTTTGAAATCTTTGTGTTGACAATAATTGTTGTTTTGACCTAACATTTGCAATTTCTTGTATTTCATTCACTTGTTTTTCTTCTAATTGTGAATTTTTCTTTGTAGCTGATAACTGTTGTTGTTCTTCTGCAACAGGCAAATGGATTATTACATTTTGATTATTATCTTGAACAATAGGTTCGATAGGAATTTCATTTTTATTTTCATTTTGATAGAAATCTGTAAACAAATCATCAAAATCAATATTTTCATCATCATTTTCATCTTGATCATCATCGTAAGCATGATATACATCATGAAAGCGGTCTATTTCTTTACCAATCTAAAGAAAGAAATAAAAGGATATATGACGATTTCCATTTTAAACGTTCTAAGATAATAGAGTTTACAGGTTCATCTTTGTTTGGATAAGCCATAATGTGCTTAATTTTAAGTTACAATTTGTATTAAGAAGAGAATATATTTTCTGATCAATAGATTATCTAAAATATAAATGGAAAACGTAATGAACACAATGTTTTATTTAGGAATCGTCTGGAGAAACGGAGAAACTCTTTTAAGGGAAAAATAACTCTTAGAAGTTCAAAATAACAAAGAAAAAACTATTCATGTTTCTGTTTCAATGTCTTTGGAACCAATAATTCAATTTGCTGAATTTCAACTCTTGCTTTTCAGCAATCGATACGAAGTCAAAAAGAAAAAAAAAAAACTTGATGGATTAATTGCGAGATGTTTGAAAATGATATATAGTAATAATAAATGCAGAGTTTAGCTTTGCCGACGCGTTTCGTACCTTTACAAAAGTAGTACTCTTCAGGGCTTGCAAATGAGAATATATATCTGAAATAGACAAAAAAGAAAGAATTATGGATGATCCTGAAAGAACACTTCAAGGGTGTAGGTATCTATTTATGAAAGATAGAGATAATGAACATTACTATCTAACTATGATGACTTGAATTAACCATCAAATGGAAAAAAATCATGATATGGAGTGTTTTTATTATTGTATGAACTTTAACTAACAATTGTTGGTTGACGAATTGTAATGGTAAGATGATATTCACATGTTGGATTTTGATCCATACTCCATTGAATTGTTTTTGTATATGGATATTGAGGATTATCATCATTGAAGAAATCTTGAATGAAATTTTGTAATGTTTCATTTAGATAATATTGCATTTCTTGCTTGGAACCACATGGTATAACATTGACTCCCACAGCCATAATAGATAATGTTGGCATAGTAATATCCAATGATGGATGTGGTAATAGAGGAGCTTCATTATTTGAAGTACTATTATTTTCATCATCATGTTGAATGGTATCATTTGTAAGTCCAGTTACTTCTTCCAAAAATGCTCGATTTCCTACATCATCCGTATCTGGTGTATTGATTGACATTGGTGATGACATAGTAGTTCAGAAAACAAGATAGATAAACAGCTGTATATGTATGTATGATATCTAAAATAGAAAGAAAAGGAAAGAAAGAAAAAAAAAATCGTGTTGAAAAGGAAAAGTATAGAAAAAAAGAAAAAGAAAAAGCATAACTGATGTTGTTCAATGTTTTCCATGTAATTTACGACTATAGTTATGCTGCTGTATATAATTTTGAACTTGTTCATGAGTCCATTGTTGATCAAGAACAACTGATAATGTGCTAATAGCTGAACAAATATGTTTACTAGTAACATTATCCACAGTTTCCATATTAAGATATTCAGCAAATGTATATCCAATAGCTTGATTAATATCCCATTCTTCATTTATAGATTTTAACGGACGATATGAACACGAACATAAGGGACCATCAATTGTGTTATAATTCAAAATTTGTTGGCAATAATAATGATGTGGGAATACACTATTATACCATTGTTTGAATTGTCTCTGTAGATTAATATAATGAACAGGTTGAGACACATCGTGATAGAAAAATTCATATTTTTCTAATATAGAAACCATATTGCTGATATTTCCCCAGATATGAACACGATTTGATGAATCCATGACGATACGAAATAATTGTTGGATTTGTTCAAGTACATCAGGTGGATATTCCATTGAACGTCTAATTGACGCCATTGAAGAAAATGAATCTCGTATGATTTCTAAATGAATATAATCATTTTCTTCACAATAAACATTGGAACAAAACAATGTAAATTTTGTTGATCGTGCTGCATTACGAATTAATTCGTTGATATTTGATGGTACTGTTAATTCATCAATATGAATGCATCGATATGATTGTAAAGGCGTATATTTTGGTAAATCACTTAATTTTTGTAATTGTTTCTTTGGAAAGAACTTATCTATGAATAATTGCATACTATAAAGATAATTCTGTTCTTGTAAATCGATATTTGACCCATAATATTCATACACAAGTAATACAAATAGAAATACACAGCCAACTATTTTAATAAATAATGCTAAACATATGTTGATATGAACAGAAAAGTCCATGAAATTCATAGGTATGCATACAATGATCAAAACAGAAGTGAATAGGAGAAATAATAATGAAGAATTCATTGAAGAATTTATAGTAGATATCTGAAATCAAAGTGAAACAAAAATTAATTTATATATTTAAAATAGAAATGAATCTGCTCAGTTCAATTCTTGCTTCTTCAACAGTTGATCTTTAATGTCAAATAATGTATATGTATGTATTCAATCAATGTCTGGTGTTATATAGATACAGAATTCGCGTTGTCGACACATTTGTGTACCTTCTCAAAAGCTAGTATTTTTTGAAGACTTGCAATAAAATTATAGATCTGAAAAAGAGAATAACAACGAAAATGATATAGTTATAAGTTGATTACAAAAGAAAAAAAAAAGAATGAAACAAAAGAACTAAAATAAGATGAAACAAGAAACCAGGTAAATCATTGAATGATTTTCATAAAATCTTTTAACAAAAGAAAATGACCAGCATGTGCTTTAGCTCTTTGAATTTTCATATCAGTTGATTTTTGAAAATGTTCATTACGTTGCATGATATAATCACGGACATATTGTTGTAATTTTAATGTGGAATTAGCAAAGTTATCTTTTGGAAATACTATGTTTCCAATACTTAAACCAGATAATTCCAATAAATTTTTAATAATTTCTACATTACAATTATGTTTTCTATGTGTGTTATATACCAGTGAACATTTATTGTAATCATCGATTAGAGAATGAATCTTATTATTCAAGACATTTAGTTTCTCTTCTATAAATTTAATTTTTGTACTAGTATCTGATTGCTGAATTGATCGAAACATTTCTGGTGCCCAATAATCACAATTTTGACCAAGTTTTAAATAAGCTTTACAAAGCTTTCTTCGGTTATCATCTTTAATCCATTTATCCAAAATAGAAGCTAATGTTATAACATAAACATATGTTACATGATCAGGTATCATTAAATTTCCATCAATGGATTTGTTTTCAAACCAATTTAATATTCGAATTCCGTCAAGATAACTACGGTTCTCACATTTATCACAGCTGTTAGAATCTGTAGACTGATGTACTGGTCCTTGTTCAATATGAGGAGAAGAAGATGATGATGAAGAGGAATTCGTTTGAAGACAATTAGACGGATTATCATCATTATTTGAATTTCTTGACATATCCAAAATGTCACCATTTGTCAAATTAGGAACTGTTGTATTAACTGCCATCAATGACTAGATGAGATACAACGAAGAATCAATCAATATGTTGTAGAAATCTAGAACATATTCAAAAACTAAATAATATCAATATATACTGAATGCGACATGTTGTTTATTGTAGAATAAATCAAATAAAATGACTTCAAAAACAAAACAATACTGAGAAAAAAACTATGTCAATCAGATAATGTTATTGTATTAATACCATGGTGGAGGAGGTAAATTCAAAAATTGTATTGGATTAAGAACAACAACTGTATGTGGATTTAGAAACGGAGGAGATACTTGAATTTTTAGTGTTGATGGAGGAGGTAAATCTAACCAATCTTCTAGAATATGAGTACTATTAATTGCAATTGGTATTATTTCATTGTGTTCTGTGAATCGACTTTGATGAGACATATTTAATAGTCTGAAATACAAAATAACACTTTTATTATTCTTTAATTTGTTATTAAAACTAATATTATAATAAAAACATTAACATAAGAATTCAGAGTAGAAAATTGATTACAGACACAGTACAAAAACAAAACAAAAAAAAAAGCGAAACAAAAATAAAACTGAGAAAAGAACTACAACAAACAAATAAATACATTCTATTCGAAAGAAAAAAAAAATCCGTAAAATAGAAATCTTATTCTATAACTTAATCTTTCGATTAATTTTATTTATGCATCCCGTTCAACTAAAATCATCTCAGATAAGACACTAGTTATCTACCTGATCATATTCTATCTGGTGGTACAACCACTACAGATAGTTGTAATGACCTAATTAGAATCTCACTTAATCTATTTCATGTCCGTCTTCGACGATACCATTGCCATTTGAATTCGACGAGACTTAATCTCAAAAAAGCCTTACAAAAAGTGCAGAGAAGAGATGTAATCGCTAGCACAAAGATAACTACGATGAAGTTATCTTTATGACCGGAAAGAATCAGCTATCACTGGACCACTCTTTCCTCTTAGTACATCGATATTCGAAAATATCGATGCTAGTGATTACGAAAGAATTAAAGATGTAAAACAAACACATTCTAACTCGATCTCAAATTACAACTACAAGATTTTCAATCTAATTTTTGTATATTAAAGAAACCCCAAACCTATGAAATATACTAAAACCCCAAAGACTAATCTCAAAAATGAAAACCCTAATGACAGTTAATACGTACCAATTCGAAGAATGAAGATATATAATGAGAAAAAAAAATGAATAGAATTAATGGAAATACAAGGATTTATATAGATATGAATGCGACATAGCATCTACAACATATCCGATACGACATATCAGCTGAGGCATAACAACTGAGGCATAGCATCTACGACATAGCAGCTAAGGCATAACAGTTACGACATAGCAGCTAAGGCATAGCAGTTACGACATAGCAGCTAAGGCATAGCAGTTATGACATAGCAGCTACGACATAGGAGATTTGTTATAAAAGACATAGAATAGGATATAGTTGTTTCAAGATAAGTTCGTTTTCATTTGAGATAGAAAGATTCTATTATTGAAGAACTTTATCAAGGATCGCTTAATTTCGTTCATAGATCGTAGGTAAATAAAGCGTACATATTAATATTTTCTTTTCTATATTATTACCATTTAGTTTGTTTCAGTTTAGATTTGTGAGGGTGAATAGAAAAAGTATTTTTATTTTTACGAATATGAGACTACTCTAGCAATAATCAAATATTTTTATTTTAGATTTTTCTACAGATTTGTGACTATCATTATCATTATATGCAGACTTTCTATTTAATTGAAAAGTGAGTGAAATATATAAATCTTCAATAAAAGAAAGAGAAGAAATTGTTAATATCTTTTATTTTTCTTATTATTTTAGATTTTGTTTTCAATTGCTTAACATCTCGTTTTTGTTTGTTCGTATTTAAATTCAATTCATCGACAGGTAAGTATTATTTTAATTTTATTGAGATAGTTTTCGTTATGTAGTGTTCGGACAGCAGATAATAGATAATAAGCATTAAATTGTTTTTCTTCTTTTTAATCACTGGCGTTAGGTGAGAATAAGGCCGCCCATTGGCCGCCCTTCTTCCTGACTCTAGAGAGTTGGTTATATTTATAGCTACACTCTACCAGTGACTATTCTATTAAATAAAAAGTAGTCTTTTTCTTTAGAATGAGTGTACATTCGTGATGTATATCGCTGAGCTATTTCAATTTGCGAGCAATGAAGAGAGATGTTCCTATTAATTCAAGAGTTTTGAGTCAGTTTTGTTTAGAATTTGTTGAGTTGAATAGAAACTTCAAGTAGATGAATAAACAGTATCAATCACGTTGATGTTAATTTTTAGCTTTCATTGCATTCTGTTCCGCCTCCAAACGTCTTGGATGGCAGAAGTCGTAGGATGCCTATGAAAGCTAGTAATCGTAAGACAATATACAAGAATAATTGTAAAAAGAAAACAGTATATAGTTCAGTAGATAATATAACAATTATTATTAATATGTAATAACATTTTGATATATTTGTAGATAGAAAAAAAAACCAGTTTTGTTAAGTAGTTTTACTATAGTTTCATACAATGTCATATACAACGCGTAGTTTACCACTAAATATTGGTAAAATTCCTCGAATTCAAAAACAGCCATTACCACTTGATCAAGCTAAGGCTGCTAAATCAACAAAAATTTCTTTAGTGGCAAATAGTTTGCCACGAAATGATTATTTAAAGATCTTCAAAGGTCTTACCGTTTTATTCATTGGTGACAATACAATTCGTACTCTCTATCGAGATCTTTGTTCGGTTCTTCAGTATGATCGATTACTTACCGCTGATGAGACCGCACGTCCACATGGAGATTATCATCTAATCGAAAGTATATATATATATACATATACATTTAGTAATGAAAGAGTATATCTGTACGATTTATCTTTGTTTTTAATGTAGATGAGCATGTTCTCGTAAAAGAAGGAAAGCTCAAGACAGATGAGTATCGTGATATTAAAGAATTCGTTCTTACAGAGAATTCTACTCATTTAATATATATTTACATTGCAACAATTTTCAATGGTATTCCTCGATTTAATCTTGAATATTTAAAAACTATCAATCAACAATCATCTATCGATATGATTGTATTTTGTTCATATGGAAATGATTTTACTAAGTAAATTTAGAAATAGTATAGTTTTATGACTAATTAAATATAAATGATTTTTTAGAGCAAAAATCCAGTCTTCTAGAATGAAATCAAACGCTTATTTTGAGAAATATCTCGTTGAGTTAAGTCACTTTTTGAATTACTTAAAAAATTTTTGTCGTGTTCCAAGTAAAACTCAACATTTTTTCTGGTTCACACCTCTTCCACAACCGTTTCATGCATCGCAAATTAAAGAGGAACAATTTGAACGATTTCTCAAAGTTACTACAGATCTTATTATTAAAACAGATGATTTCATTTCATTCGATCTTTATGACATTTGGAAACGTCGCAAGGATTTGACCGTTCCTCAAAACGGATACCTTTCGTTACATGGTAAATAGCGTAATTAATCATAGATTTCAGTAACTCTCCACAATTCTTTTTTCTTCTTATTAATTTAAAGGAATTCGTGAAGTTAATGATTGCTTTGCACGATTTTTTGCAAATAAAGTTAATCGACCTTTTACATCTTCAATTCCACCTTCGATAACTCCACTAAGTCATCTAAATGATAAGCCATCTTATCGTAGAGAATGGCCAAAACCAACTTCACAAACATCAACAAAATCAGATCGATATCATCCATATAGTCGTTAATGAACATATTTTCAGTTAATCATATGACATTCGTTTCTTTTTCATCTTCATAGTTTTCATTGTTATTTTGTTTGTTTATTACTTATCATTATGAAAAATACTTACTCTATATATATCTGATATTAATCATCTTCTGAGTAGATATAGTAGAAACTCTTGTTTCAATTTCCATATTTATTACAAACAAACAACTCATGATCAGGTAATACCAAACTCAAGCAAATGAAAGAGATTTTCAATTCAATTCAATAGACAAAAGGTTTCGATAATTCAATTCGTATGAATAATGATTCAAACAATGAATTCATCTATAAATATAGTTTGAATCTTTTAAAATGATAGATATTTTGGAGAATCCAGAAGATACCAAACTTTATTGCTAAAGAAAAAAACCGGAAATAGGTCAACTAAATAATACTAGGCTTTCTTGAGGGTGTGTAATGTGAAAATGAAAACAAAAAAAAGAAGAAAAGTTGGTTTTTATGTGATGGTATATGAATGATATAATATAATCCTCTACAATAGAGTTTATAATTTCATAAATACATGCTGCCGACGACATTTCCAAATATAACCTTTAATTTGTTTGCGAGTCCATTGTTGTTCAATTACTGATGCTAATGATGTAATAGCAAGACATTTATGAATATTAGCATCAATGTCATCATTCTTTACATTTAGATTTTGTGAAAAAGTATATGCAATAGCATATTCTAGACGCCATTGTTCATTCAATGTTTTCAATGGTCGATGAGAACATGAGCATAGAGGACCATCAATATTATGATAATCAAGTATTTGTTTACAATCTATATTATGATCAAACGTTTTATTATACCATTGTTTAAAACGTTGTTGTACATCAATAATATCAATCAAATAATTCATATTATAAGAAAACATATCATAAGAATTTAATATCCGTAGAATATCATCCATATTTCCCCATATATTGATAATACGATTTGTATGATGATGATGATCAAATATAACCACAAATAATTGATGAATGTGATGGCATAAAAGTGTTGAAAAATCCAAAGATGATTTAATTGAGATCATATATGATTGAGTGCTTTGAATTAGTTGTATTTGAATACTACCTTGAATTGAATGATCCTGATCACAAAAAATGGTAAATTTATTTGTTTCTTTAGCCTCTTGAATTAATTCATTTATTGTTAGAGGTGATGTTAGTTCATCTATATGATAAGTTCGAAATGATGTGAATGGAATAAAACTTGGTAGATCAATGATTTCTTTGTTAGTCTTCGTTTCATTGATAGATGATAGAGATCGTTTTAATAATCTGTTTTCAAACGATTTAATTAATGATGATCCACTTATAAATTCATTGCGATTTAGAATTATATATATTAAACTAGATGATAACATGGATGTAAATGAACAAACAATGATATTTATTAATAATAATGAGCCCTTGTTGTTGTTGTTGTTGTTGATATGCATTACAAAGATATTCCAATTCGAAAAGAGATAAATCAATGTATGAAAACTAATAAGATACAATATTGAAAGTAAATAAGTATGTAGTATTGCCATATGTTTTCGGATAGACAGAAATATCTATAAATAAATGACAAGAAAAAAATGAGTTAAAGTGATGTAAACAAAGAGAAAATAAGTTTATTAAGTATAGAAGAAAAAAAAAGGAATAATTTGAAGGTTTTCTTTTCTTTCTTTTGTTTTGTTTTGTTTTCAATAATCAGTTAACAAAGAGTTTGACAAGTAACAATGTCGCGTATTAAGTTTCACTTTTAAACCATATGTTCTATATTTAGGATCTTGTTCAATAATTGTAAACCAAAGTTTACGAAAACTATCATTGAAATTACACCGTGAACCCCAATCATATAAATAATAAAATTCAATCCATTGTTGTTTCTGAATTAATTGTTCACGTTCTTCGAATTGACGTCTTTCTGTATCTATACAACGAAATAATTCACGACGCAATGATACATACGACTGTCGGTCAAGTATATTTGGTTGTTGATTACGAACATTGAATCTTTTATAAAATTGATCCAAATTATATTCAACAAATTCTAATGTATAACCATTAGCAAGAAATGTTAATTCAATATAAAGGCGTTCAATTTGAAAATCTGTTAATGTACTACATGATTGTCCGGCACGAATAAGTGAATAATGAAGCCATTGTCGATGTATTAACCGTGGATGTCCAGTGACGTATGGTAAAAGAAATGGTTGTTTCTTTGAATCATGATAAATACGCGTATAAAGTTTACCATTTTGATTTTCAATATAAACATTCAGAAAATGAACATTCAAACCTGTTGACTGAGTTATTTGTACATCTGGATGTTGATAATTCAATTCAGTAAAACATGCTTGTAAAGAAGTTATAGATCCAAACCATGTCATAATGCCCATATTATAATAACGACCATAGAATTCATCTGCAAGACGTATTTGTCCAACTAAATGTTGTTGCCAATAATGTAAATAAATATTTAATAATAATCGTGATAAACGATAGTTGAAAGGACATCCTTTAACATATGAAAACATTTTTCCTTGATAAGAAAATTGTAAATTTCTTAGAAATATTTGAGTCAATTGTTGAATTGTATCATTCGATAAACCGTCATGACGAAGTACATTGACTTTTTGTGTCGTAAGAAATTGATGTAAAGCATTCATAATATCATCATGTGATACTCGTTTATGTAGATTATGAATTTCATATGTAACAAATTTTGTTTCTGGTAAAAGAGAATCACTTTGTGAACAATAATATTCAAATTTTCGAATAAAATCACCACCATTTCGAAGTGATGTCGATTGAGAATAATTTTCAAATAATGGTCTTAATAACTGATAAAGATAGGATGCCAATGGTTGAATTGGAGTGGAAACACATGATGATATTCTTGCTTGAACTGATATTGTTCGATTCTGTGTTTGATAAATAGAATAAAAGAGAGTATGAGAAAAAGAAAAAGGAATAAAAACTTTCGATGTACATACGAAATTTATTTGAGGTAAGAAATATAAATGTGGAATACTTGTATTAATTCTTGGAACAGCTAACATTCTTGGCAAATGTTGTTTGCGAATAGATCCCTTTTGATGTAATTCTTCTAGACTAGAATTAATTGAATGAATGATTTGAGTTATATAGTGCTCTTCAGAATTTTTCTCATCAATAAATCCAAGCATTTTAAAATACATTGCATTCGTCATATAGGCATTAGTTTGACAATTGAATTCCTTGAGATCACCAAGATAGTATGTATTATTGTTATCAGCTGTCCGTCGTAAAAGTAAATGATCTTTTTCTAATTGATATTTAATAGATTGAACAAGCTGCTGTTCATATTTTGCATATTGTTCAATGTTTAATGGTATAAAAGAAGAAAATGATTTTTCAAAGAGTTTTTCTATTTGTTTTTCAAAATTTAGTCGTCGACTAATATCAATTGGATATTTAGTAAAAAATCTTGTTAATTGTCGATGAAGTGGTGCTATCTGTTTACGTAGGACACGATCAATTGGATTGATTTGATGAATAGATAAATGTTGTTGACATGGTGAAACATAAGTGGGCCCACGATTTAAATAATTGATTTGTTCCATTGTTAAATGATGATTTATTGTGTCTTGATATAAACTTGGTGAACAGCCTATATTGGATTTATCAATATCGCTCCGACGGCTCAAATTTAATTCTTGACCGTCGGAGCTTTGACGAAAAAACGGACTCGTAATTTGTAGAGATGCGCTATATGTTCATTGATATTTTTAAAACGTCGATTTAAAATCTTTACCATCGCTTGTGTTAACTTTCGATGGGCTGTGCCTGAACATTGATTAGCTTCATAATTTGTCATAGTTGTATCGAATGTTTTTCGATATTCATCAAGTTTTGCTTCTGCAGTTTGAATGTAGATCATCATCATTTCAGATTTTGTTCGTTCAAATAATTGTGTACATTGTTGTGTTAAATTTTGACGAATGGTCTCATCTCGAATACGATCTAATGTAATAGGTGTTGGTATTCGAAGTGATTCAAATGAACTTGGTAAATGTTGATGAACAACTCGTTGCTTTAATACAGCCACTTCCAATCGAGCTGTTTCTTTATTTTGTTTTTCTTGAGATAATTTATTAAATACTTCAATCTAAAAGACAACATATACATAAGAGTAACAAGAATGATGAGTAAACAAGGAGAATAGTCCATACTTGATAAGGATATGGATCTTCTTGATAAAATTCTAATTCAAGTAATCGATCATTATATTGGAATTTTACCGTAGCAATTTCACTTTCAATCGGTATTCGATGTATAGCTATACCATATTCTTCTACAAATTGTGTAAGTTTTATTTCCATTTCTGGAATCAATGTATTCTTTAGTTGTTGTTCTTTTCGTTCTTGTAATTGTTCTCTATAAGATGTATTTAAATCACGAAATTGACGAATTTTATGATGAACATAACTAAGACAAGTGTTATGATCAATTTCATGAGCTTGTAATGTAGTATAACAATGTTCAATCATCGACGTTTTGACTTCATCAGGCCATAATTGAAGATCAACTGATGATGTTGCATTAGTACCTTTCGATTGTTCTCGTTCTTCTTCTTTTTTTTCTGCTAGTTGAAGAATATTTTTCAGTTTGCCTGTACCAGAATGCAAATATGTTGTCCACAATGATATATTCAAATCATGTAATTGTATTTTATGAATAAGAACAGTTGTTTGTCGCAATTGTTCGATACTAATGATTTTGGAACTAATTGCCATTTCAAGTTCTGGAAGAGTCTTTATTTTTTCTTCGAAAATTTTGCTACTTTTTGATAAATATCTAGGCATATCACTGTCAGCTACATCCACAACATTTATTTTCATTCGTTTAACTGTTGTTGCTGCAGTAGTTACTTCTGCTGTTTGAGATGATAGTCGTTTCAGTGATTCAATAGTCACGTCGGTTTTGAGATCACTCTCTTCTTTCTCATTCGATTGTTTATATTGATTGGAAGCCGATAACTGACTTAATTTTTGTGATAATTGCTGTTCTTCAACAGTTAGATCAACTAGGATATTTTGATTACTACCATGATTGATAGTTTCAACTGGAACCTCATTTTTCTTTTCATTTTGATAGAAATCCGTAAACAAATCATCAAAATAAATAGTTTCGTCATCATTAACATCTTGATCATCATCATGAGCATGATAAATATCATGAAATCGATCAATTTCGTTTCCAGTCTGTATAGAAAAACAAACCACGTATGTATATTTTTTTAGTAAACACTCTAGAAAATATAATTTACAGGGTTATTTTGATTTGCGTCCGTCATATCGTCATTAATTTCAAAATCACTCTGTGTAATAGTACAAGTTTTCTGTTTAAAAGTATTTTCCGTCGATAAAACTAACTAAATTATCTAAAATATTTATGAGAAACTATCTAAGAAATATATGATGATGGAGCAGATAAACATGTAAGAATTTTTACAATATTGAAAAAAAAAACAACAATAATTATGTTTACATTTTAGTCTCTTTTGATGAATTGTTTGATGTGATTGTTGATCTTCAATTTATTTCAAAAAAGTTATGATGGAAATAATTGACACATCTGTATAATAATTAAATGTTTCGGTTAGAAATGGTAGTGAAGATTATGACAATAAGTTTGTTATTAATGAATCAAATTGTAATAATGCTGCATTATCTGTTAACACATGAAATTACCAGTACAATCCATTAGCGCATTTGTGAACAAAACTCTGGCGAATTATTAAAACAACCTAAGCTGTACACAGATGGTGGTAGGGATAACAATGTATCGCAAAAACATTCAATTTCAATTGGATTTTTTATAGTTCTTTAGCATTCACTTCCAATCATGACATTTTCATATGTAAATCATAGATGCATTATACTATTAACATGAATTAACACCATTTTAGCATATTATCATATATAACGAGCAACATCCATAAAATTGGTCTGTTATAACAGACAGAAACAAAAACCATCATGTATTCGACGACATAAGAAAATCTTATTCTAATACTTCACCTTGAGGGTAGTACTACTAAAAAATTTTACATAAAAAAGATCATCTCAAATAAGTTCGTAATCATCTACCTAATCATTCTCTATCGAGTGGGATAGCCACTACCGATAGCTACAATGACTTAACACAAATATCTCTCTTATTCTATACAATGTTCATCTGTTGATAAAGCCATTGCCATTGCCATTTGAATTCGACGAGACTTGATCTCAAAAAAGCCTTACAAAAAGTGCAGAGAAGAGATGTAATCGCTAGCACAAAGATAACTACGATGAAGTTATCTTTATGACCGGAAAGAATCAGCTATCACTGGACCACTCTTTCCTCTTAGTACATCGATATTCGAAAATATCGATGCTAGTGATTACGAAAGAATTAAAGATGTAAAACAAACACATTCTAACTCGATCTCAAATTACAACTACAANAAACCATTTTTTTGAACATGTCGACACATTTGGAAGCTTTGGACACCTACGAAACCTTTTTGATGGGTTTGGTAGAATACCTTATTTTTTTTCAGTGTAGATGTAAAGTCTTTGCTGAATTTAATTATTTATGTCTCTACTATCAATTTTTCATTAAACTGTCCGTTTAATATCTAAATAAAGTAGAATAGAATATTTTTTTTTTAAATATTTCAATAAAAGATAAATTGTTCTTTGCATATGCACTTGAATATTTTCTTCTTTTTTTTTTCTTTTTTGTACAATGTGAAAAATTATCAGCTTCTGATTGTGAACATTTTAGCTTGCTGATATTCATGTATATAAGTTATACGGATTTGTGTTAATGAGTATTTTTTTTTCATTTCTTTATAATATTGATATTTTGTATTATTACAGATTTCGAACATTTTCATTCATTATTCGCACGCTTAGATAAACTATTAGATACAGGAAACAATCAATAATCATATATATCATGCTTAAAATCGGCAAAATTCCACGTATTCAAAGAGAGCCATTGTCAAAAGACGAAGCTAGTGCAGCGCTATCTACAAAAGCTTCTCTATTATCATCACGTTTACCACGAGCTGATTATTTCAATATCTACAAAAATATGACTGTCTTGTTTATTGGCGACCAGTCTATGCGCACGATGTATAGAGATCTTTGTCATATGTTCAAATTTGATAGAATGCTTGATTATACCGATGCTAAACGCTCAGATGGTGATTATAAATTATTACAAGGTAAATAAGAGAAACGCATTGTTAAAAATACTATTTCATTTGTTTTGTTTATATAAAACAGATGAAGAAATTATTTTCAAAACTGGACAGAAGGGGACTGATTTGTATTATGACATAAAACAATTTTATTTAAAAGAGAAGAATATCAAACTCATTCATGTGCATTTATCTACTCTTTTCAATGATCGTGGCCCAAAAAATCTCGAATTTATAAAGAGAATTAATCAACAATCACAGATAGATGTAATTCTGTTTACTTCGTATAGTAATGACGTAACTGAGTAAATGAAAGCGTTTTATAATTGTTCTTATTATTAACTAAGTACAATTTTAGATGTAAAATTGGTAGATCAAATCTAACATTGAACGATTATTTCACCAGTTACTTGGCTGTATTTGATCAATTTGCGAATTATCTCAGACAATTTTGTAATACCGTAGATAAAAAACAACAGCTCTACTTTTGGTTATCCCCATTGCCCAAACCATTTGACAAGTCATCGATTAAAGAAAGTCAATTCGAAAATCTTTTAGATCAATCACGAGATATTGTAAAAAAACATAATTATATCGAATTTGATAGATATGATATTTGGAAGAGAAGGAAAGATCTCACCATTCCAGATAATGGATATATTTCTTTGCATGGTAATTCAATAGAGTTTCAATGTAACAGTTGTATACTTGTGCTTTGTTCTTCTACGTTACAGGATATCGAGAAATGACTGATTCCTTTGCTCGATGTTTAGCGAGGAAGCTTAATCGTCCGTTTACATCAGCTATACCCTCATGGAAGAGTCCAGTGAACTGCTTTAATAGCTTGGAATCCAATAACAAACAATCAAATCAATCAGCTTCAAAAGCATTACCAAAATACAATCGACATCATCCATATGCTCGATAATTATCATATTCTTCAATTGCTAGAACATTATTCCTTTTATTATTATTCAAGGTTTTGTACTCCTACTTCCCTATTTTCTATTCTTTTCATTATGATGAACTATAACTTTATTTGTAAGAACTTCACATCATAGAGAAAAGTAAAACAAATGTTCTTTTGTCTGAATATTCGTGTTTAATTACAACAAACCACAAGTAAGCAGTACAACATTTATAGTAGAAAACAATGACAAGTAATTCGATTATAATATACAAATAAAAAATGAAATACGTTGTATAACAGTATAATCAAATGACTAGTAATGTCAAACTCGAAAGTTGAATTCAACTATTCGAGTATTCGAGTATTTCAGTATTCGTTTTTTTTCGATACGAGCGCTCAGACGGCATTCGGCCCTCCTCGCTACCAACTTTCGCTATCTATGGAATCGACCCCTCCTATTCGTCAGTTCCACAGTAAGCTACTAGCAAGCCCATGATTCACTTTTCCACAACAAAGTAGATGTCAACATTCCTCTGGATCAAATGAACTGTCAATGTACATTTCGTGACGATAGCTAGGCACTAAACGCACAGCGAACAAAAAAACAAGCAAACTCTTTTCTGTATGCAACTGCGTGCACAAAGAAGACAGCGTAACCCATCGCGGGTATACATTTAACATTAACGTTTTTGTACAACACTTTCTTTTAGGCAATGTAACACGAATCCAGCTTTCCGTGAAAAATGTCCTAAATAGCTATCCTTAATACTGTCATCTTAATTTACCCCCTAGAAACTAGGCAATTCACGACTACCCACACCCTCTGCGTTCAACACCCTTCCCCCGCACCCTCACAGAGATGATACCGCGCATTACCCTCCCCGTTCAACACCCTTCCCCGGCACCTTCAAGTATAATACTCGAATTCAAGTTTCGAGTTGTGCACGTATGAATAGTACTAAAATCATAAACTCAAATAAAGTACTCAATTGTTATTGGACTAGCGTAATGAACAATTGCATTTTTCAGTTATTCACTTATATGACATAATTGAGATTTCATCCACCCTCAATGAGATGATAATTCCATCAGCACTGTTCGCAGCATTCTCTTGTCAGTCTTAAAATAGATTTATTTTTATCAAAAATTTTGTGATTTATTTGCAAATTGATTTTACTGAAACATTGTGTTTACTAGGGTATGTACTTTTTATATAATAAAAATTCCTTGTATGATATTTTTTACTGTAGTTTGTTTTATTGCAATGTCAAACAGAATATTACAATAGTTTTTACACTAGACTGTGTTGAATATATATATATATATATATATATATATATGTGAAGTTTTTAGAGAACAATTAGAAGTTCAAATACTATGTATATCTAGTACACATAGAGTTTATGCTTTCCAAGTATTTATGTAAGATATTTAAAGTAGAATAGCCGGTCGAGTAATAACAATAATGACGAATAGGTCTTTGTGCATAGTTTCGAATAAATCATCTTCTTCTTCGTTAATAGTAGACGATACGATTGGATGAGCTGTATTTATAATATTTGCCGTCGTTATCATTGATGTTGAAGCAACAGTTGGCAATAACCATCCGTCTCTCATTTGAGAATCATCAGGTATATTTAGAGATTGTGAATGTAATTGATAAATATCATCAGAAGAAATGGATACGATGTCTTCATATTTCATTTCTTCTACATTATCATCAAAGTTTGATATTCTTGTTCTTATGAGAATTTTCAATGTATCATTCGTGTTGCCAGAAACAGTAAAAGCACGAGATGTATATTCTCTCAAATAATAATTTTGAGTGTCTTGAGATAATGAATTATTGTGCCCATTAGTGTTCTAATTATCTGTGATATCCATGAAAAATAATATATATATGAACAGAGTTATATGGAGATTTAGTTAAATTAACTGTGTCTATTTCATCTATATGTATATAATCTATAAACAGATTAAAAAAAATAAATGCTAAAAATTTAAACGTAATATTGGAATTGTTCTCCATGATTAACAAGTTGAACATAGAAGAATTTGTTTGTATGTTGAAAAATTCTTTATTATTGGTGTATGTAACTTTTGTACACATATAGATCTAAAGTTTAAAAAAGATGAAATAATTCATTTTCTGTACAAAACGAGAAATTTTATTCAAATACAACAAACTGAAGAAACTAATTCTAGATAACCACGTCATGTATCTCATTGGCATGCATATTGGATTGTACGGTAATACGAGAGAAATCGCAATATAATGTGTGTTTTTTATTTGTGTAGGTACGAAATAGAAAAGCAATACTAAAGTAAGTATAATAAAAAGACAAATAAAAACATGCTTTTAGTGGTTCATGTTTTTTAGTGACGGTTTCCATGGAGATAGGTAAGTATGTCAGATTCACTGATCCTATAAATTGAAAGAAAAATAAAATAACTATACATGTATAGATATTTATTCATTTACGAATGCATTTGGCATCGAATAAAAACAGAATTTACTTACATTTCATTTACTATACGAATTAATTTTTCGTTCGAATTTACTGTTGTATCACTCATAATAATATCAATTGCACCAAAACCAATGGAAACTGCAGCTTGATATTTATCGATGATTGAGTCCAGGTCAAGATTTATCTCACGACGTGAAAATGGAAATACATACTAAAACGATTATTAAAGAGTTATACATTATTACTAAATTGGTATGAAAATCTGTTCTTACTTTAGCATCTTTAGTAAAAACAAGCTCAAGAAAGTATTTGTTCTCCGTTGACATTCTTAGAAAATTATCTGAAACAAATTGGAAATATATTGTTTTAACATCTTTCTTGAAGATCAATATTATAGAGTAAAATATTTGAATCGAATGTACCATTATCAGTAACAATATTATATTTACAGCTTATAAATGTCTCAATTATATATATAGGCAAGGATTAAATGAATTAACAAATAAAATTGATTCAAGAAATTTAATGTAGTTTGATGTTGAACGAATTCATTTATGTTTTGTTGAACTATATCACTGAATGAATAAACACTAATCTCTTATAATACATTGATTTATCATCTTTATTTAATGTTAATGTAAATTATTTAATGTTAATGTAGATTTCAAGCATTTTTCATATGCATTATCACATAGACTACTTCTAGTAACGTAGTATGTTCGATGATTATCTTAATCTAGAAAAAGTCATAAAAATAAAATAAAATGAAGAATAGCACTACTGAAAAGTTTAAGCAATGTTTGTTTTTGTCTTATAAGACATTTGAAAAAGAAATAACATCATGGATATAAAATAGTTCTGATGCTTTTTTATTCAATTTTAGACGATATTGTTACTGTTGTTGATGATGATGATAAAGGATGAACCAGTGCGTGACACCAATTTCCACGTAATGATCCCTGTGGATACGGGTACTTATTATTGAGAGCAACTAGTAGATTACCAATTGAATTGAGTTTAGTTTCACCATGTGTAATAAATAATGAAACAAGAAATTGTCGAAAAACGGCCGACATATTCTCCGGCACTATAATTTCATTATATGTATATCATTGTATTCTATTGTGAGCATATCCAATAATACTTACATAGCACAATAACAGAAGCATCGTAAAGATTTAATGGAAGATTTGGCAATTGCTGATCAAGTTTCTCTTTGAAAAAATGTATCTGCGCTTCATGTTGTCGTTCAGTGAATACAAAATCACGTGGTGGTTTAGGAATTCGTTTTAAACATGTTTTAATTTCCGCTTCACTTCGAATTCCAGAAGTTGTTCGTGAATGTCGCGCCAATAAATCTCGATTCGAATGATAGTTTCTCACTGATGACGATCCTGACGTGTTGAATGTCGTAGATTCAATACAATTTTGATTGTGTATTTGTGTTGCACAAGTCAAGACTGGTACAAAATTCCAGTAATGTGGATAGCAATTGAGAAACATTTGCATGGCTACAGAACATCGAGGCGAATGTTGATAGAGATGTATATTACTCTTACTATTTCCGCTAGAATTGAAAATGAAAAGAAATCATCAGTAGAGACTACATGCACATGTGATTTATGATGTATTAACATACTTATTCGAGTGTTCCCCGATAAGAAAATCGTGAAGAACACGGTTACCGTTCATACGGTGACGGTTAAGCGTATATCGAAGATTATTACTAGATTCACCAACGTACTCGAATTGACCACAAGGACATCGAAGAACATAGATAATGCCAATGGTATCACACATCACAGGACCATTTAAAATAACTTCATATCCATTCAAGAAACGATATTTTCCATTCTGTTCAGGATCAAGTGAAAATTGTGAGCGATGAGTGATATAGTTGGAAGATGTACAAACGTCACAATGTTGTTGACCACATGGCTTGAAGAAAAATCGTAATTCTGGTTCGACTTGACAAAAAAGATCTTTATTTTTTGAAGTTGGTTGAACATTTCGTTCAACAAATGTCTTCATATAGAATAGATCCACGTCCATTTGTAGGAAAAATTCCATAGCCATCGGAATCTCCTCATCTATTAATCGAACTTCATGAAGTGTTTGTCGTAATCGAGACATACGCTCATTAGCAAACAATCTTAAGCAATGATTCAAGCGTGTATAATTGAAATCGAGAATATGCCAATTAATATTCAATCGGTTTGATAATAACTGAAAATGATTTACAAAATGATCACGTAATTGAGATGGTATTGTGAAATTATGTATTGTTAAAGCACAGCTAAATTGATTTGAGTTATCCTCATGACATTGGCGAACACGACGATTCACTTGTTCAACTGATAACAATCGTATTGGTACATTCGCTAATAGTAAATCGGCAACATTATTACCATTATTTGTTGTTGGGAACATAGGTAAAATGGATAACCGTGTTTGATTATGTTGATTAAGTGTTCGTGAAATATATTCTTCTGTTACAGCAGAATTTATAATATTTATTTCAAATGACTTGAGTGGTGTATGAAAAAGATGCATGTCATTATTCGATCCATCTAATGACATCTGTTCATGTTGTTCAGACATATTTGTGTTCTTATAGAGGCTCTCTGTGTCGTGTCTCTGTGTTGCGTTCACTGTCATGATAGATTTCTGAGCATTGAACGTCGGATTTGGACCAGTATCATCATCATCATCATCAGATGAAAGAACAATATAAATATGATTTTCTTTCTGAAAATTTGTCATCTAAACAAAAGAAAGGATTTCACAAAGATGTTTATTGAGAACATCATGATTGCTAACAATATAGCACACAATTCAAGTAGATTCGAGAACAAAGACATAATAATATCGCTTCTAAAAGGAAAGTACATAGAAAATTGCCTAATCTATAATCATTTGGAAAATCACAGATACTATGTGAACATCTAAAGCACATAATCCTTGTTATTACTCTATGACTAACGAGCAGCTTTTCCGATTTTACTCAATAATACTTTTTTTAAATAAAAAAATATTGAGATGATTCAAACCATCTATCACAGTCACACAATCCTAGTGCTGACCCATCCTCACAATACTGATCACATACTTTCTGAATCAAACACAAGCAAAACAAGCTACCTCCCTAA